TAGATATGTAAATAGATTATTTTAGGTAGAAGTAGATTAGATGTGATAACCCTATCTCAGCAAGGACAAACTGTCGTAGAAGACCCGAAAGTCTGAAAGATAGATACGATTACAAGAATTAGAGGCAACAACCAATCAATTACAAGAGAAAGGGGGAAAACAAGCAAATTGATAGAAAAGAGGGTCAAGACGTTATGCTGCAATCGTTAATCGCTGACCAATAATAGCCAATTATTCCGAGACTTTAGTCTTGATAAGAAAGCTACGATAAATTGTAAAAAAGATTAAGACAGACTAGCAAAAAACAAGAGAGGAAAGGAAACTGGATGTCATCGATAATCGTTATCAATCGTGGATAGTGGAAAACAGGCGTGTATCAAGTTCGTCAGTGGCTTACAGCGATAAAAAGCTGATCGTTTCACAGGGTGACAAGCGACAGATAGAATTCAAAAATTTCAAGCGACAAAGCCTTCGTTAGAACTTAGAAGACAGCAAAAATTAAGAAGAATAAGTCGAGATCGAAAAAAGATTGATTATTCGCAGATTGGTGGGTCTAACTTAAGTGGAAGGGTGTTGCAGTTTTACTTTACAAAAAAATGCATTATGCAAATCGTAAACAAAAATAATGTTTTATTAAAATATCCCCGTCTATGTAAATGAGAAAAAAACGCGTGAGATTTGTTTTTTTCATACTTTAACAGTTTTAACAAGTGGGATGTAGAACTTTTTATTCTTCGCTAGTGAGACTATGTAAATGTTGATTAAAGAAAAAGGATATATAATGGAGAAATTATGATGCGAAAAAGAGAATTATTATTTTAACTAAAATTTACTTTTAATTATATTTTATTTTATTTTATTTTATTTTATTATGATTGTTACTATTATAATTTTGAATAAAGAATTAAAGTTGATTTTATGATTTCGTAATTCCTAATTATTATTAATTTCCTTTTATATATATATATTTGTTTTCTATTTTTATATTTAGGTTTTGATGCACAATGACAATCTTGTCGTTGTGACAATTAATACAATAATTCACGATTAAAAAATTATATGTGTTTATTAAATTTTTAAACATGTTTCGCAATTTTCCTAATATTACATTTTAATTTTTTATTTTATTTTATTAATAATTTTTATCTTGTTAATTGGATGATTTAATGTTAATTTAAAGAGAGAAGGTTAAATTTTTACATATAATTTGCCTTGATATTAACTAGAAAAACAAAATTATATAGACCAATAATTTTGATAACCTTAGATTTTGACTTTTGATATATAAATAAAATTTGATTTTACTTAATTACCATTCCTGTGTGGTTTAATGGAACTTAAGCAATCCCTACAATTATAAATTCTTAAAATATAAAGCATATTTAATTTTACTTTTGCACTCTAAAAAAAATTAAAAACAATATTTTTCATCTTTTCCGAGTTGTGTATTTCCTCGATTATTGAAATTAATTAAAAATCTGGTTAATGGTATTTTTTTAAAATAATCAATAAAATAAATAACATTTCTATAAAATATATTCAGCGCACCAGTTGAACCTTATTTAGTGTAGTAAAAATGTTTTTACTGATATGCGAAGATTTAATATAAACTTTGAAAATGATTTAATGTTAAAAAAATTATAGAAGTTAATTCGTAAATATTTTATTTAATATACATGTCATTCTTTGCCAGGGCCCGTCAAAGAATGGCGTAACCAGAAATTTTCCCCTTTATTTTATGAGGTAAAGAAAAGTATGCTATGAGATGGTTCAGAATTTTGCATTATTTGATGTTGTATGTTAGTAAAGAATGTATTTAGTGTTTTCAACTATACTAAATTATTTAAATTAGTGAATGATATTTTTAATATCTTACAATTTCTCAAAATTATAACATGATCAAATAAAACATTTTTTTTAAAATACATTAGGATATTTGTAAATTATGATATAAAAAAAAGATAAATCTTGCTAAGTGAAGGTTCCGTAATTTTCTTCTATGATTATTTCACCTAAAAAATGCTCACCCAACAAAATTAAAATTTTTTAGATTATAAATTTTAAATGCGAATATTTAAAGGAAACTATATAGTTATAACAATATTTTATTGATCATATGTTGTTTAAGATACTATGAAATTTTTATCTTAAAAATAATATGATTTGCACAAGGGCGTCGCTGGCCTTTACAAGCCTCTTTTGCCCTGACTTCGGCCGGGTTTTATATTAATATATTATACTTTTTTAAAATTTGCTTACTCTGAACAATTATTCTGAATTTCATATTTTGTCAGCCCGTCAAGAATGACGGGGAATCAGAATTTTCTCCGTATGGATAAATAAATTTTACCTTCATTTGACGATGGATGAATTAGAATAGTAAAATGAGAGGAATAGATTTCTATAAATTTTTAGAGAAAAGTCCAAAGATATTATGGAAAATATGGAATAAAAAAAATATGATTTGTGTTATGATATTTATCAATTCTTTTAAGAAATTAATCACATCCAGACGCAATGGTTATTGCTCTCTCACTTCTTATAAAATCTACATTCATCTCAAAGAATGATTTAAATGCTTTTAAAACCTTCCTAAATACTCTTTTAAAAAAAGACCTGCCATCATATATTCGAATCAATTATGTGGGCAAATCAGATTATCTCTAACAATGTGGTGGTATCTACCCCATTGCAATGAGCTATTTAGAAGATCATTAGCAAAAATAATTGCCATTGGTCAAAACCCAGGGTATTAACTTATTAAGTATACATATCAATTAGGGTTTGGTGTTAAGGGAGAAAGCAAAATAGCTTCACATGCCATTTGTATTATATCCAAAATCCTTCTCCATATATGGCTACTATCAAAGTAGACTTTAAAAATGGTTTCAATAGCAAATTTCGTGAACATTTCATAAATTGTTTTTATACAAAATTTCTTGTTGATTCAAAATTCCTAGAACCGTAACATTAAAACTCCTTTCTTCAGCCCCCATGTCATAGATTCTGACTAAAGGAACCAGCAGGCGGACAAAGGTCCTCGTTTATTTTACCTTGGTATTACTTATCTCATCCATTATCTTAAATCTAAATTTGATTTGGATATAAATATTTGGTATGATGGAACAATCTTTGATGCTCTTCCTAAAATAATAGGTTTTCAATTTCTTGAAGCCAATTTTAAAAGACTCATTCTTTAATAAGTCCAAATTCGAAATCTATTTCCCTAATAGCAATAAAAAAACCCCTCATCTAGCAAAATTAAATTTTTTATTGAGTACATAAATAATAAAAATTAAAAAAATAAATAAGGAAATTAATATAATTTTAAAAAAAAGTATACAAAGTTGGATTAAGAAAAAAAAATACATAGCTGGAATTAGAACCCATAGCCATCCATTAGATACGTAAGCGACGCTCTTGCCGATTAGGCCCTCGACGCTTTTCAAAATTGACGATTTTATATATATATTATAAATTGTGACACAGTGACTATGACACGGTTTATATATATATTATAGGTGCATACAAAATAAACTAGCATATAAATAATTAAAACAATACAAGACATTTCTAAAAATAATATTTAATACAAAATCTATTTATTACAGTAGAATATTTTCGATTGCTGATATAAAATAACTTTGCGTCTAAAGAATTACAAGTGATAAAAAAGTTAATTAATTCATACATATGCCTCAATTGATAATGGTTTTTAAAAACCACAATATATAATATAATACTTAGCAACATACATTGACAAAAGACCATGAAACTAATATAACTATCTGTTACCATTTTAGACAATGTTTTATAGAATGGACTAATATTGAAAAATTAATAGGCCTAACCAAATCAACATGAAGAAGAGAATATAAACGACCAATCTAAATCATAAAACTATATGGTGGTTAGAGCTTCCTCTTAGATTACATGATGGAAGCTATATAAGTAATCGAGAAAATTATTGTGAGATATTAAATTTAAAAAATTATCTTCCCTTTTAATGATATATAAACGACTACACAGTTGACCATTATTGCTCATCTAAAATATGCAATCATATGCTCTCAGCAGCTGTAGTAATAATCTTAAATAATATAAGCAACACAAATAATAGATGCTGGTTAATTTGCAGTCATAGCCATGAAACTCACGATGTTAAATTTAGATAAATTGATAAAACAAACACTAAAAATCTTTATAAGAAATTTTGCAAATATATTGAAGCCTTATGTTATTTACACGGCAAGGATGCCATATTAGAAATGAAACATTTTGTAATTATAAAATAAGAACCAGAGTGAAAAGATGAAAGCAAATAAAATTTTATATATTATAGTCGCACCTCCTCATTTGGTATATTATATCATAAAATAATAGTAGTTTGTAATAATATCAAATATATACTCGTATTAAAAATTTAACTCAAAACTGTTTTTCCAATAATAAAAAAAGAGCTTTCCTAAAAACACATAAAATAAGAGGAGAAAAGATATCTAATTTATTACATCAATTGTGGGATGAATAATATTTTTAAATAAATAGATGGCGTTAATGAATTCAATGCAAATTGTTAAAAATATTTATTAATAAAAGCATTTCTTAGTAAAATTTATTAAAATATTAACTGTAGTATATTATATTGAACTCGGCTATTTACAATATTTTGTTAATTTTCAATTAATAAATGATTATATTTATTTAATTAAGGTTATATAATTTAAATAATAAAAGTCAATTAAGCTTCAACTATTAATGGCCAGACTCAGGCCTACAATTATTTTAATCCGTTATCAGGCCTTTAAAAAAATCTATAAGAAATTTTTCTTTAAATATAATTTTCTGCACAGTTTTAAAACTCTTGATTGCTATGATTTTATAAATTGTAATTAAGCGAATGAATATTTTGTTCCACAACTATTTATATAATTTATCATATTGTTAATTCCCTATTTATATAGAAACAATTTATAATAACATATTAAATGTATATATCAGACAAATTGTAAAATCAATCATTTTCAATAAATTTAAAGGATAAAAAAAAAGGATGATTTTGATTTTATTAATATTTAATTAATAAATATTTATTATATTTTAGATGTGTATATTCTTGATTAGGTTTGTCGAATTATACCTATTAAATAATATAATAAAAATAGAATATAAAATTTAATTAGTGTATTTTATATGCAAATATAACATCCTTCCTTCTTTTTAATAAAGATAAACTAAAAGTACTCAAAACAAACATAAGTTATAAAAAGGTAGCAGACACTGATATAAAAAGGGTATATTTCTTAAGTCATAATTTCAAATAATTGTACTTGTCCAAATAAGAAGAAATGAGAATGAAAATTTAAAAATAACTAGTAAAATATTATTAAAATTGCAGAAGTTGCAGCTGCCCAAAAGTTGATGTATATACACAAGGTCAATGTAAGCAGAGTTGCAAACCTACGATGTTTTACGAAGTTAATTAAAATATAGCAAACGAAGATAATTCTCACAATATTAATACTATCTATACCACTCACAGAGATTATTAGTTAGGAATTGATAGGATCAGCACTACAGTAAAAAGAATCAAGCACATGAAATCAAGTATATCACGAAAGCGAAACAAAAAAAGACAGATAAGATATAAAACTATTTTGAAGAAGTATTAGAAAAATATGAGCAAAGGTTTCATAAGCGTCGCAGGTGGAGGGTGGGGGTAAGGAGAATTCCCCTGGTGAAGTTTGTCTGTTCTTGTAAATTTTAAGGTATTTGTGGTGAGAAAACACTTAATAGTGCCCCTCCCTCTTCGCAAAATTTTTGGTACGCTATTGAACAGTCTGAAATGCCTAAAGATAGTGGTAAATAAAATAGCGATAGCTAATAATGCATTCTTTTACGAATAAAATTAGATCGGACATAATATAGAACATATTCCATGTTTATCTTATGTATATATAAACATTAGCATTTATGTGGTAAGACAAAAAAAAGGTAGTTTCTTATACTATAGTCTAATCTTTCAGTATATCTGACTAGTTTGGAGAGCAAAGCTGAGCTTATAAATTAGAATTAAAGATTAAACAATTTAAGCTGAAGCAGCTGAATTTATTTATTTTTATGATACTAACGATCCTAAATAATACTCATCATCCAAATCGTCTGATAAAATTTACTTAGTAGCTAGAGATTAAGCAATAATGATATGGACCAGCAGTTAATGAACTAAGGAAGAACAGAGCCCAGAGAATCAAAAATTAACAAAAAATATTGCCAGTTTTTGAAATGGTAGCTATAAATTATGTATTACATTACATTATAAATTTTTTTAGAATATTAAATATTTTAATTTATTTCGATTTTTTTAATTAAAAAAATATAGGGATATGAACCACACTTTTTTGGCAGCCATAGCTAATAGGGTGCTCCTTTTTTTTAAAGTAGCTAAGTAGCTTTTTAAAAATAGAATGAATGTAACTATAAACATGAAAATTTAAATATAATATCATATTTATTTATAATTTTTATGATTTACTATTTAATTTTGAATTGAAATATATTTTCAATTTGCAATTTTTAATTTCAATTTGTATTATAAACTTAAACCACATGTAAATTATTTAAAATGTCATCACATAAGGATATCCAAATCGTTGAAAGTGTGTCAGACGATGATATTAATGAAATGGAAGATACCTGTAAAGAAAATGTTGTTAATGGCAATATTACTCCCATTTCCAAGATTTGAAAAATATTTTAAAATTAATATAAAAACCAATTTGTTTAAAATGTAAAAAATATATCCTCAAATCAATCCAATAGCTAAAACACTTAAAGGTAATTGTCATTTTTAAATTCTAATAGTATTTATTTTCTAAGAATGTTCATGCCAATAGATAGTTTTAAGGAGATAGAAAAACATCTAAATAATTATAGGAGACTCTACATTGAAAAAGACTAATTCAATTCAAACCAAGATGATTAATAATGCACATGCCAATATTCCTCAGAAACTGGCTGATAAAGTTATTGTTAATTTTATAATTGATACTGTTCAGCCAATGTCCTTGATTGGTTATCCATCATTTACCATGATAATTGAAATTCTATCCCCTGGTACAATAATTTTATGTCGCCAGACACTAATGAATAAGATGACAAATGACTTTAAAGCGATGAAAGATGCTTTAATAGTAGAATTGTCAGATATATCATATATATCTACCACGGAAGATAGTTACACACATATCAGAAGGTAAAAACTATTTTATGTTTATAAATTGATTTGATATTTAATATTTTTAGAGCTTATTTGTGAATCACAGGCTCTAGAGCTTTAAAAAGTAGATCTCATTAGCCCTCAAAAGGATAATGGGATGCCAGACACACTTTGTATTTGCAAATAAAATTATTAAATCCACAAGTCTTTTAGGATTCATAATGTGACAGTATTGAGAGATTATTTAGTAAGGCGCTTATATTTTCTGATTCTCGCTTTAGACTAGGGGATGATAATATTGAAATGATTTTATTATTAAAATGACAAAATAAATAAAAAATGGATATTACCATAATTAGTTATTTTTATTACATAAATTTTTTTTGTAATCATAAATGTTGGTTTTTATTTACTAAATTACAATATTAGCAAAAAAATTAAATAAGTTTATTTCTAAATTTTTTTTTATAAAAGGAGTAAAAAGTAGCCAAAGCTACTTTTTAAAAATAGTAGCTAATGGCGCTCTACTTTATTTTGATGGGTAAAGATAGCGGTAGCGCGCTACTCTTAAATATAGTGTTTAACAACTCTGATATAAAACAAGTAACGAGGGACAAAGGACCACGTATAGGACCGTATAATAAAAAATTATGATTCCACAATAATCAATTCTTGTTCTTGTAATAATAAAGATTATGAGGAACACTAATAAAAATTAAAATGGAATATAATATGGAAAATTTTTTATATAAATGTTAATGGTAAAATTGATCTCCTGGTCTGCCCTCATTGATAGAATGGCGATAAAAACATATTTTTAATATAAATGAGTTGACATATGGCAAATTATTTTTGTCAAGTGTTGTAACATATCATGATTATGTATCAAAGGAATAAATTTAAGACATTAGATTAATTAGTTTTGTAATAATTTGAATTGGAATCACATACCGCTTGGATCTTTTTCGGTTTTCCCCATATACAAAGAATTTTTAAGATTATGATAGTTTTTAGAGTTAATGTAACTCCCTGTAACTCCCATGGAGGTCGCCCCTTCCCATACATATTACAAGCCATTTGGGCTCGATGCATTCAACTTTTACAGGCAATAAGCTTTTCCCTTATATCTCTAATGAACAAAAAACGCTGAATATGAAATTCGAGAAAAAGAAAAACATAAAAATGTTTTCTAATGATTAGATGCTCTAACATGTGCTATCCTGATTCTAGGTTTTTATTATTAATATAAAACTTACTATATTATGAAAAAAAAGTTTAAAATAATTAACATAACTAAGGTTGTCTTACAATTAAAGTGGATTATTTTGACCAATTATAAATGATTGGAATGTGATAGACAGATAGATAGATAGGTAGATAGATAGATAAGATAGAGGGTTAAAAAAACATATTTACGAATGAAATTAGAGCCAAAATTTAGAAAAGTGATAGGTTAAAATTTTGTTATAAAATAATATATTTACCTCATTTGCGTGAATCTAGATAAACTGAAAATAAATAATATAAATAATTAGAGGAACTCTTTTATAAGATGATAATATCATTTTTTTTAGCCAAAAGAGCGCAATTGTGATTACAAATTCGATTTTAAAGTTTCATAGATATTTTATGAATTTATAGAATTTAGAAAAGAAATATAAAAATTTCTAAACCGATAAATAAAATGATAGAAGATGTTGTTAATCTTTATTTCCTATTTATTTTTTTTCCTTTAATTTAATTTATGAATTTTATAAATTAATTATAATATGCCAACCAAGATAATATTGATAAATTATATCTGATTTTTTTTTCCAATAAATAAGCTACATTATTATTTTTAGCATCGATAGTATCAGCTAATATTGTCGGTTTAGGTATTGATATCTCGGGTATAAAATTGATAAACAACTACATTCTACATTATTTATATTATATATGTCTCCTACATTAAATTTAAATATTAGATCAATAGCTAAATCCTGTCTATTAATACAAATTTCAAAATTAAATATTTCGAAATTATAAATTTTTCGAAATCATAAAGTATTAAATTTCTAAAATTGTAAATTTAATTTTCCATTATAAATTCTTGGTTTTATGATCTTCCAGTAGCTTGGAATTACATATGCATCCATTTTTTGACGCCATTCAACAGAAATTCCTCAGCAATTTATGTAAATAAATAAATATTAAAACATCGCTAACGTATTTTTTATCCATTCGGTGTTTTCGTGAGAAATTCCTTAAATTTATCACATTATTAGGAAGAAAATTAAGCCAAATAAGTAGCAATAGTAATGAAGCCTTATATTTCAAACAAGCCATTACGATGGATATTCATCAAAATAATTGCATTTATATTCATGGTTTTATATAGCAATGCTAGTAAACCGATCTCTTAATTGTTTTTTAAAATTTAACTTTTATTCAGTTTATTTTTTTTATTAAAATTTTTATTCAGATGTTTTTTTTCAAAATTTTTATAATCGTTAATTGCTTTTTATATGACCATGGTTTTAAATTATTTAAACTAACTCAATGAATAAAAAAAATATTGATTTAACTCTGATATATGTAGATGAAATTTTATAACACTTTGCCTATTAAATTAGACTAAAATTATATTACTATAATTAGGCCTAGGTACATTTTCCAAGCATTTGCCCTTTTTATAGCAACAGTTAGGATCCCTCCATTTACAAATTCTCTTCTTTCCTAAATGATAAATAGTATATATTATTTTACATATTAATAATTAATGTCTTATGAGCAAATAACTAAATATAATATACGTTTAATACTTTTCATCATAAATGAAAAGAATAATTCAACAGAATACAAATGTACTGTTTTTCTCATAATTTGCTTAACATTATGGCTTCCATATCAAAATCAATTAGTAATATGAAATAAGTTTTATTATAATGATCACTTATGTACAAAAAAAAGTTTGTTAATATAAAGATTTATCAAAAACAATTATGATCATTAACGTAACCTAGGAGAATAATGGAAACGAAAAAATTTTCCTCATTAAAAATTAACTATTTTGTAAATATTATTTTAATAGAATAAATCTTGATACCCCCCCCCCCCCCATATTAGCTCTACCTCAACAAGAAATGAATAAAATAAATTTATGAAACAATATTTTCAAAAAAAATATCAATCCGCTTTTTAAAAATATACAACCCAATTAAAGATTTGCAAAAACTATAAATGGGGGGGGGGGGGTGGTATTATACAATAATCCTCCATCAGAAAAATCTTGGATACGCCTATTGGCTATGATTATGAATAAAATTAGGAAAAAAAATTTTCCGATTAGCTTAATTTTTTTTTAAATTATAGAGCGGAATATATTTTATAAGGAACTCACTATTTCCGCAAACTCTATACACTTTGTTATCTGTATGATAAAAATATGCAAAATAATATTTTCAATTTATTGATGGTTTTTAAAAAAATATTTATATGTAAGCGTTTTGCTATTTTGAGATTAAATTTTATTTTATAAGATTAAACTAATTGTATCATCATTAGACTACAAAATTAAAAAAACCAGGGCATCTTACCTTTTATACTAAAACGATCATTAGGCCTGATCGGTAAAAATATCAGACAAACAAAAAATCCACTTGAAATATTTTGTGGGGTCGTTGTTGCCCTGGGAAATTTTTGATCGACAAACACACAGTTTTCTGCCTTGAATTATAGCCTCAATGGTAGTGAGTGAGCTTAAATGACTGTAGCAAATATTCAAAAGCCAAAATCCCGGACTAAATGAATTTGGTAGCTTAGAAGTTGAGGAATATAGTTTCATAAAATTCGGAAGAGTATACTTAAGTCTCACGACAAATAATAATCAAATAAAAAGTTGACGAGAAAGTGCAAAAAAATTGTATTTTGATCATTATATTTTTAATGAAGAGCTCCAACTACCAAATGAACACATGATGGATAGTAGAGGAAACCTGAGAGCATGCGAGAATTAAATGACAAACGTTAATCAAATTAAACCTACTTGACAATATTGAGAAAATTTTCATTTGATTTTACTTATTTACTTTTGTACTATACGTAAAAATAATTTAGTATAAAGTTTTAGATAAAAATTTTGGGAAAGGATGAGCTACACCTAGTGTTGTTAAAAGGCTCGATTTGAGCCGATTCTTAAAAACGGCTAACTCAATATTTCACCCAGAAAAATTTTACACAAGCCTGAAAATTTTGCTCACAGATGGGACAAAAGTCTAGATATCTGTTAGCAAAATCTAAAGGCCTAGGCAATATTTTTATCGCAAAAATATTAAGCTAGCCCTTTAAAAATCGGCTCAAAACGAGCTGTTTAACGGAAAGATGAGTTATCCCACGGGGCGCCTTTGAGCTGAAAAATATTGATTGCGGCTAATTTATTAATACAAAATAAATCATAATGGAATTAATTTAAATTAGTAGAATTTATTGATAGTTTAAACGAATGGATTAAAATTACAATAGGATCCATGTGCCAAAAAAGATCATTTAAACTAAGGCCCATAAATATTTTATATGCATTTGTTAAATAATTGTATAATATAGTTTTTATGCTCTTTGAATATTCATCTTGATGTAGAACTTAAAATCTTGTTATTTCATTAATCTTGACTTATATCCTTTTACTGTTGCATAACCTGTTTGTTTTCTCCATAATGGCTAGTAAATATAGATTTTTATTAAATTTATTAGTGATTTCATCATTTATTAGTTGTTTCTTCTAATATGATTTCTTACCATAATCAAATTTTAATAAGCAAAAATATAAAAGTTTATGACCATCTGAAAAGTAAACTCAGACCCTCAATATCTCTAAAATTTAATTTTATGGTAGTTTGAACATATTTTTTGTTCAAATAGAGAATAATTTTATATAATAGGGTTTAATCTTTTATATAAGATAATTTATAAAAGTTACTCTCGTGGGTTTAAAATGTATTGTGTTATAAAATTATATGTAATTGGATATTAAAAAAATTATAGCCTCATATGCATTATGTATTTTTCTTTAAAATATTAACACTAGGAGAAAACCTCAAGGCTCATAAGAACCTCGGGCTCATATCCCCGATTTGGCGCTTATTAGTACTTTTTGGCATTTATTAACGCTTATTAGTACCGATTGGACCCAATTAATATCTAAAGTACTCATTTACACTTATTAGCGCTTAATACTACTCATACTCATTAACGCTTATTGGTATTTATTGGCACCACTTATTAGTATTTAATGGCGCTCATTGACATATATTAGTACGCATTAGCACTTATTAGTATTCACTGGCGTTTATTATTTCTCATATTGGCGCTTATTGGCCTATTTAAAATTGTTTATAATGTGTCTATTTTAAAAAAGAGCCCATAGAATAATGGAAGATAAATGATGAAAATTAAAAAAATATATAATATTTATAAATTATATATACACTAACCTTTTACATATACGGTACATTTCTCTATCATAATTTTTTTGATTAAAATAAAGTTTTAAATTAAAAATAAATTGTTTTGTAATACTTGATTTACAATGTTTTATATGAATAATAAAAGACTAACTTTTGCAATCTGATTTCAAACCTATATATAAATATAATACAAAACTATTTATATTTATCATTTTAAGTAAACAGTACAGTGTTGTGCAGATTTAATTCAAAACATTTCCATATTTTTTTAATTTGTTTTTAAATAAAATTATTTAACTTGTAAAAGTTTTTTGCAAGTCAAATAATTTTATTTTCAAATAAAGTGAAAAATATCGAAATATTTTTCCATCAAATCTAGTCAACACTGGACATTTCTGATAAATAAAAATGTAAATTTATTTATATTTACTAATTAAAATATAATAATTAGAGTTTACAGTAATAATATGATTTGTTGTAACACATTTCCATAATGTGAAAATACACTCTTATATGGTTAAAAAACTTTCCATAATTATTGTATAAAACATTTTGATATAATTTTAATAAAAAATTAATAATAATAAAAGTTTAATTAATACTAAAGATTAATATTTTTCAAAATGTGAAAAAGTTCGAATGGAGTTTTTTTTAATGGACATAAGTTTAAGTGGGATAATGAGAATTTTTTTTAAAAAAAATCTATAAAAATAAATTTTCTAAAATTTTTACAATAAATATTTTTTAAAAATACATTATAAATTTTTTAAAATTTAAAATATTATTTCACTATTTAATTTTACTTTTAGAAAGATTGGAATTCAGGATATGAAATTGGAAAATTTTATTGGTTTAAGATAATTTGATCGGAACTAATTTTTAAGAACTCCGAATTCTATCGGATTTATTTGTGGATAATTGGGTGGTAAAAATATGATATTTGGACAATTTTCACTTATTATCCTGGCTTGATGAATAGGAGCGTTATTCATAATAAGCAATGAATTCGATCTTAAAATTCTATATAATTCATCGAGGTATAGTTGGAATTTTATGGCAGTGAAGGCCCCAGTCAATTTTTTCAATTCACTTATTCCTATTGTACATAGAACGGATATATTTTTTTCCCTTTGGAGGCATCTAACAGATGAACTTTTTCCTCATGAGTGCCTACTCCATAATGTGAAATAATATGGGTATTAAATCCTGTCTCGTCAAGGAAGAATAATTTTCAAAAGAAATATTTTTCATGTTGTAACAATATTCCTTTCTAATTTGAAATCAAATCTGGTTTCTCCTATCGAGTTCTTTTCCAACCCTTTTCCGGCTCCAACCCATTAACTTAATACATTTTGATACAATTGACTCGCTCACCCTTGGATGTGGTGATAAATGTTCTATAATGTTTTTGTTGGTATAGCGTTATTATTATCAAACAATTCAGCTATATTCGATGGAAGTTCTGTGTTGTCTTTTTTCTTACGACCTCATTTTTTTATTATATAATCAGATAAAGGGTCGGGGTAATATTCAGGGAAGGTTTCAAAAAATTATTAGAAGTTTAAAATTAAAGTCGCAAATTTAAAAAATGATTTATTGGAAGTTTTAATTTAAGTTTTAAAAAAATTAGCGGAAAAAGGATGTGTAAACAAGTTTTTTCAATAATTATGGAAAGTTAATTAACCATATAAATAATGGAAATGTGTTACAACAAATCATATTTTTACTGTATTCACATTTAACCGACGTCTTTATTTGAACCGTAATTTTTTTTTTATTAGAATTGCGAAGTGCCGTGTTATTATTTAGTGTTAGATTCAAATTATTTTAGTTTATATATTCATTTTCAATTTGAAATTTGAAAATTCTTAAATTCATTTTAAATTTTCTATCTCCAAACCAAATTTTAACGTGTGCCTGACTGAAATTTTTTTAAAAAATTATTATTATATTTAAAAAGAAGTAAGCAAAAAACATATTTGTTTTTCTTTTTTAACACCAAGAATTCATAAAATATGGAAGACTTAAATGTTGTTAAAATTTTAGAAATTAATTATTATTTTAAATTCCAATATCCGCCTGGCACAAACTTTTTATGCTGAGTCCAACCCTTGACTCCGAGCGTGCCAAACGCCGTTTGGATCTTTTCTAATAGTCTAATAGTTATAATACCGTCTTTTGATTATTATAATGTTCTAACTCTATATCCATTTTTATTTTGAATTATATATTTGTAAAATTGGCATAACATAATTCAAAAAATTATTGAAACATTGGGTAATATTTTATTTTAACATTATTTTATAACCCAAATATTGATCAGGCTAAACATTTAGAAAATAAATAAAAATATATATTCAAAATTAATTTTTGACACGTTTTCTAATTGAAATCGATAATACAAGGAATCAAATTTTATTAATCCGTATATTTAAACATATTGTTTTAAAAAATAAATTATCATGTGACTTACTTAAAATGTTAGAGTGAAGGTTAGAGCCATTATAGTCAAAACCAAAACATGGATCCTTTTCTTTCTCATCTAAATAAAAATGAATAAAAATTATATGACAAAATAAAGGTGAGAAAAGAAGAATAAAAATGATTTGGAAATTGTTGATAATAAACTTTAAAAAAAAATACTAATAAAATTGAAGTATAATATGAATAATATAAATGATCTCGTTAAACAAATATTTTGTAAGTTATCTTATTAAGTCAGGTATAATAAGAGTCAATCTTAAGTTATTAGTGAAGATCAACCTCGGAAAAATAATCAAAAAATATAATTATTATATGTCTTTTATATTTTTCTTTTATCTTTTAAATTTTTAGTTTTATTAGAAAGTGTTTTACAAGTAAGTTTAAAACAATCCATAATTGACCCTATCCTTCCTTGGTTGTATTTCCATCATATATTTTACTCAATTACAATAAAACAATCATAAATTAATCGTAAAATGCAACACGACCGGGCCAGAAATCATAATGGTGATGTTTTTTTTTAAAAAACACTTTAAGATAACAGTGAGTAATAAAAATTGACATTGCAACATTGTCATTTCTTTTAAAGAATAACTCATTGTGGCGAGGACAGGGGCCGAAATATATTTCATTGGTAAATTTGTAAGTCTCTAAAATAATTATAGTAAATAACCGCACCCATCACCTTAGGCCTGGAAAAGTGAACCAAAGGTTCACCGGGGATATGCGACTTGGAAAAATCAGAGATACGCCAATAATATTCCCTTATTTATAACTTTTAACTTGCACACCTGTAGTGTAGGCTGAATTTCATCTTTCTTCCTTCCCCATATTGTTTAGGTTTAATTTGAGCTATTTTTATGTTACAATTTAGAATAATTCGTTTTCATAATATTATTATCTGCGATTTTAAGTTATTTTTGATATATTAGTAATACATGTGCACATCAATGTTTAATTTTTATAATATATCTTAAAAAAATATTGATAATTGTCATGATGATTATATACTCAAATTCTTATAAAACTAAAGATTCTATAGTATAATAGGAAATTTTGTTTTTTTTAAAAAGTCTAAAGTAATATCTATATATTACAATTTTATTATTTAATTGGATAATTATATTAAATAATGCGATTTTTTTTAAGAGTTCTAACTTTCATATTAATTATCACACTTAAAAATGACGCCTCACCTTCTAGCCTTTTGTTTTGGCAACTCACAATTGTTTGGTGATTGGGTTAAAGAAAAATTAATTGATAAAACATTTTGTATTCAACTGGAATATTATTATTACTACTTTAAGTACTCCCTTGTTTACAATTTTTCTAATTAAATTTTTTTGCCGTTACATTATATATAAAGACCCTTTCTGTCATATGCATTATAATATTAAACCAAATAACTGATTATATGAATTAATGTATAATAAGTGTAAGGGATGTGAAAACATATATAAATTAAATCTTATATTACCTATTAAGATTATTGAAGTGGGAGAATCGTTGTCACACCTGTCTCCACAATTATCATATTCTATAAATTCTGAAATTTTTTTTAGTAAATTGAATAAAACAATTAAAATATATTATAGTTCATGAATTATTTTGACTTTAACTAATATTTATAATAACTTTCTTCCTCTCTTATTGGCTCGCTTCTTCCTTCCCTCCTCTTATATAAGGAAAGATTTTAAAACAAATGCCCCTCCCCAGCCGGCCCTTCTAGGTCGGGAACCGAAGACACACCAATAATAATCTCTTTAGATATCTTCCCTATTGCTTTATTTTAATTTCTAACTTTTATTGCTCTAGTTTTAATTTAGCTTCCTTCTTTTGTATATTCTTAGATTTAATTCGAGCTATTTTTATGGGACACAGTTAAATTTATAATCTAAAATCATTTTTATAATCTTGTTAATTGCAATTTTAAGATATTTTTGATATTATATATAGTATATGCATATAAAACTTAATTTTTATAATTATAAAAGAAACACTTGCTTATCTGATATCTTGAAAAAAAATAATGATAATTGTCTAGATGGAGATAGTGCTCTTACCAAAACTCTTATAAAACTAAAGATATCTTATTTTAATTTTAAAATGGAAAAGAGGCTAGAAGAAAAAGGGAAGATATTAAATTGATTCCAAATATAGGAATTAATATTTTATTTTTTTTTAAAAATTTTAAAATACCTTATCCTTGGTATATTATGACCTTAGAATAAAATTAAAACCATATTGCTAATAAAAATTTTAGGAATTAAAAAAAAATTAATATATGAAATAAAGTATGTTGATAGTTTTTATATAGTTAACCTTTGAAGATCAATAAGGGATTCATTATTTATGATTAGTTTTACTTGCCATACAGAATAAAATTTGCATTAATATTTTAAACATTATTTGTTAAATATTACAAGTTTTGGATCATAATGGCTTTAGGAGTTATGGTTATGATGGAAAACCACATCGAAAATACTACTTTAAGGACTCATGACAGACAGTTTTTCTTATTATATTCCCTGATACGTTATATTGAACAGATTCTTTTTATCATAAGCATGATAATGCGCTAGTTAAAAAAAAATGCTTATATTAAATAAATAGGCATGCGAAAACATATATAAATTGAATCTCAAATTATAGTATTACTTGGTTGTTCAAGGAATACTACTTTAGGAGTATCATCATAAATAGGATATTTATTACAGTCCTTTCTTGAACAATCATCATAATCTAAAATTTATGAATAAATTAATTATTAATGCATTACAAACATCATTTTATTTAGTACTTGGTATAATTTTAATTTTAGGATGATAATCTAAAATTAAAAAAGAATATTTTATTATATTTAATTAGAAGTCATTTTTTGATTTGTAAATTTATTTCATTTTTTGTAGTACTTGGTATAATTCCAGGATAATCTAAAATTAAAAAATAATATATTGAAAATAATTTTATAATGTTTAATTAGAAGTCATTTTTTTGATTTGTAAATTTATTTCATTTTTTTATTACTTGGTATAATAGGATAATCTAAAATTAAAAAAGAATATATTGAAAATAATTTTTATTTTTAATTAGAATTTATTATTTTGATTTGTAAATTTATTTCATTTTTTTAGTACTTGGTCTAATTCTAGGATAATCTAAAATTAAAAAAGAATATATTGAAAATAATTTTTTTATTTTTAATTAGAAGTCATTATTTTGATTTGTAAATTTATTTCATTTTTTTAGTACTTCTAATTCTAGGATAATCTAAAATTAAAAAAGAATATATTGTAAATAATTTATTATGTTTAATTAGAAGTCATTTTGATTTTTAAATTTATTTATTTTTTTTAGTACTTGGTCTAATTCTAGGCTGATAATCTAAAAAAAATTTTTTTTATTATATTTAATTAGAAGTCATTTTTTGATTTGTAAATTTATTTCATTTTTTGTAGTACTTAGTCTAACAGGCTGATAAAAATTTAAAAATTTTTTTTTATCATTATTTGATTAGAAATCATATTTTTGATTTGTAAATTTATTTCAATTTTTAGTTTGGTCTATTTCTAGGCTGATAACATAAAAAAAATATATTGTAAATAATTATATTGTTTAATTAGGAAGTTATTTTCTGATATGTAAATTTATTTCATTTTTTTTAGTACTTAATATTCCAGGCTGATAAACTAAAATTAAAAAAAATTATTTGATTATATTAAATTAGACATCATTTTTTGATTTGTAAATTTATTTCATTTTTTGTAGTACCTGCTGGTCTATTTTCAGGCTGATAACCTAAATTAAAAAAAATATATTGCAAATAATTTTATTATGTTTAATTAGAAGTCATTTTTTAATTTGCAAATTTGTTTCATTTTTTTAGTACTTGGTGTAACAGGCTGAAAATCTAAAAAAAATATATTGCAATAATTTTATTGTTTAATTAGAAGTCATTTTCTGATATGTAAATTTATTTCATTTTTTTAGTACTTAATATTCCAGGCTGATAAACTAAAATTTAAAAAAATTATTTTATTATATTAAATTAAATTAGACGTCATTTTTTGATTTGTAAATTTATTTCATTTTTTGTAGTACCTGCTGGTCTATTTTCAGGCTGATAACCTAAAATTAAAAAAAATTTATTGCAAATAATTTTAATGTTTAATTAGAAGTCATTTTTTAATTTGCAAATTTATTTTATTTTTAGGCTGAAAACCTAAAAAAGATTTATTGCAAATAATTTTATTGTTTAATTAGAAGTCATTTTCTGTAAATTTATTTCATTTTTTAATTCTTATATAATTAACTAATTAATATTGATAGATTGTAAAACATGAATAAAATATAAAACAAAAACAAATATAAAATAGTGATAAAATAAAATTTAAAATATAAACGAAGCAAACAATAGGGGAATGATTGCCCTCTTTAATTTGTTATTAACACTTATTTTTAATATACTTGGTCCATTTATTGGAGAATCACCTAAAATTTCAATAAATTATATTATAGTTTACGAATTATTTTGGCTTTAACTAATATTTAAAATATCTTACAAATCCCCTCTTTTTGGCCACTTCTTCCTTTCCTCCTCATATCTATTTACTAACTTATTGGGAGATATCAAAAGAGTTTTTCTAATCAATTTATATTTTAATTAGACCTACAAACTATTTGATATCATTAAGGATTCGTAATAAGCATTGATGTTTTTAAATTATATTTATATATAATATACATGTGCAAGCTTCTGTATAGTGATTAGCAAAGCCCGAGCAGTCGCATATTCCTCCACTCATATCTTTGCAATTAATCAAGCTTTTCTTACGCATACCATCGCTGCAGCTGCATGGACCGAAATTACCATATTCTTTCCGATTTGATAATATTATAATTAATTAATATTATTTTGGTATAAAAAACTTTTGACTAATTCTACCTATAATTTGGGGTGTATTTAATCAAAATATTGTTTTATTTTACCAGAAATTTTTAATTTTTTTTAAAATTAATTAATTGAAGATTAATATAATTTCTTATAAGTATATATTTTAGCAAATTAAAGTAAATTCATTAACGAGATGAACTATTGTAATAATATAGTATCTCCATTGAGAAAAGTATAAAGATAATTATCATCGTCCTTAGCAGTTTATCCATTTTACACAGTGCTTAAAAGAGTTTAGGGGGGGACCAGGGCTATTTGGCGCAACTTATCAGATTATGGGATTTTATCAATGTTTTAGAAGTTTAAATTTAATTATATGGTAGCATTCTATAATATGTATATTTGGAGTAAAAAATTTTTTTATCTCTTATTAGCTATTTAAAATTTTTACGATTTCGAATTGGAGTAAAATAAAAAAATAAAATTTTTAATTTTATACATTTTTAAATTCAAATAATGTCACATTTTTACTACATGAATTATTTATATCCTATGTAATTGGTGATAGAAAATTTACTTTTACCGAAATCAATTTTGAGGAAAAATATTAAATATAAAAGAATGTTTATCAATGTATAAATTTTAGTTTGATTGAGCTGTATCTCATGGTAATTTGCAAATTCTGATAAGATAATTATTTTTAATTGAAAATTTTGACAAAAATTTTGCCGACCAGTCATAGTATTCTCTATCTAATACATAAATTATTTTTAATTAAATTTAGAACAAATTATTATAATTAATAATATATGAGCATCAAGATGTACTTTTTCAAAATTTAACTTTATTGAAACTTCTTTAGCCATTTCCAAACAGTTTTTTTTTCAAAGTGGTTTGTTTTTTATTAAAGATTAAATGGTTTCTGAAATCCCGAAGAGTGGTTACGTTTTTTTTTATAAAATATTATTTATAAAAAAGTTAATTCGAAAAATTATTTATCTATGAAAAAATTTTCCAAAAAATACCGCTTTGAAAAAAAAGTTCTATTTGGAATTGGCATTTGACAATATTTAAATTCGATACTTCAAGATATTTATTTTAATGAGAACTGGATATTAAAAAGTAGAATATTACTTGGTTCACAGCTATCTGAAGCTATTTCGATGTAAAGATATTGAAATATCAGCAGAATCAGAACATATTTTTGACACATTAGAGCTTTTGTTAAAATCTAGTAAAGAACAAAATCAAATCTAAAACAAAATTTGCAGAAACAAAAATTATTTTTAAATATATTTAATACCTATTTTGTATTCTTTTTTTATATATTTATATATTTTTTTAAAGCTTGTAAGAAATGATAACAATACAGATACCCCACGGGTGGGCTTTTTTAAAAAAAAATAATCTTCCTGTGTTTTATGAATGAGTTGTTCAAATAATTTTATTATTTTTATAAGGGCTATGTCATTTTACAAATTACCTTTTAATACAAGTATATGATCTTATATATAACATGACGTATTTTTCCCCCTAGTTTATTATATAAATAATTTATTTTTATTAAAAAAATATATCGAAATAACAATTCAATAAGTCATAAAAGTTACATAGAACAAATCATATTATCAGGTTTAGCAAGTTACACTGAAATTTTAATGATTACACTTACTTAGAGCAAATATTTAAATATTATATACGGTTATCCGATGGAAAAAAAAATTAATTACCTATTAAAATGTAACGGTTAAATGCTCCTCATTACATATTATAAATTGCGATAAAGTAAAGAGGTAAAAATCACCCTCTTGTTATATGATAATTTTGGGATATTAAAGATATAAAAGTATATTCTGTATTGCATGTTTTAAAATTGTCGGTTAAAGTGAAATAACCTCATCGATATTAAAAAAATTTTTTTACTCATTCGTTTTTCTGGGGACAAAAGCAAGTTCATTAAAACTATTTTTAAAAAAAAAATAAACTTTAAAAAGAATTTGGAAAAGGATAAAGTATAAAGTATACTCAAAGTAATGAAAACAAATTACTAATTCGTATTTTTGCCCATTCCTACATATCATTTTTTTATAACTAAATAAAAATAGTGTATTATCTCTGGCTTTAAGATTCGATTTTCTTATTAGAATTCGTCATTCATCTACTTATTTTAAATTCGAAAATAAATCTCATATTTTCGGGTTTTTTTTTTCCTTAGTCAATAATAAAATAAAGTATTAAGATTAGTGATCTGCATTGGGCCTAATTATTCAAGCCCGACCCGGCCCGAATTTTTTTTAAAATTTTTTGCCGGCCCGAATTCGAAATTTTTTTAAGAAAATTTATCGTCTGACCGGACCCAAACTTATTTAAATATAGTTTTTATCTCAAAATAAGAGATATATGTTATATTGCGTCTAGTCCTATAAATAAAAAATCAAATATTTTTATTTTACATAAAAAATTTATCAATATAAAATTGATAAATTTAAATATATTTAAAAAACAAGACCCGTTCCGACCCGGCCCGAATTTTATTTAAAAACGGGCTCGGACTCGGGTCGGGTACGGGCCGGGCCTACTTTTGCAAAATAAAATAATATTCACTTTAAAAAGAAAATTTTGTATCGATGAAAAATAATGGTTGCTTGAAGTGATTTTTTTTTTTGAAAATTTCAAATTTTAAACCCAATGTAGCCTGTTAATATGTGGATATACCATTCATTTCAAATGAAAAGACCCCACCTGGATAAGGGAGATTAAATATAAAATGTGCGCCAATTCAAGCGTGTAGGAACAAACTTGGATTCAAGTGGGCACTCATAAAATCCATTTATCTAGAGGATTTGAAACGTCACGTCCCGCTTATGAGAGGAAGGGGGAATTTCTCCTCCCCTCCATCGCAAATTTTACCGGTTTCGTAAATATCATATCAAGCTAATAAAAATTTGTCCCTTTTCACACCCCCCACACCCATACAATATTTCATTATATGGAAGAATTTAATCATAGAAAAAAAAATATTTGACGAATTTGTCAGAGCAAAAACAGAGAATATATTTTAATAATTTTAGGGCAATTTGTATATTTTTTAATGATTAATTATTTTTATTTTTTAAATTTTTATATCGTTAAAATTAATTTATTTTTCATATTTGAAATTTATAAAAAAAAAATTTCTTTAAAGTAGATTATAAAAATGCTTGAAGGATAATTATTTCTAACAAACATCCTTTTAAAATTATTATGATGTTTAATTATTTTTGTAAAAATATCATAAATTTTCTTGAATCAATAAATATATGTTGCTTCACATTCTCACACTCACACCCTTAGCTATGAATTTGCTTCTTTTTTTAAAAAAAATTTTAAAATATTTAAAAAAAATTATCATAAAGTTTTTATATTACATTTTAAAATTTCGTAATTTTTTTACGTGTCTAGAAAAAATTGTCTATTACTAATTCCTAAATAATTTGTAAATTTATCAAATATGAATAATTAAAAACATAAATTTATGTAGAAATTTGCTGTTATAAGATATTAAATGTATAACGAGCATTAAACCCAAGGCTTAGGAAAGTTTTCATAAAAACTTGGCTTCACTGTTGTTCTTTCATTTGTGCAAGTGCTAATTAGTGTTCAGTGGTCCGGTCAAGTTCGATCTCATCTGACTATTGGGTCCGACGGGACGGTCCGATCTTACTACACTTCCGATCGCCCAGTCTGACCGAAGACCGATTAGAAAAGGTAAAAGTTTGAATTGATTGACAGCTAAAAAATTTAAATAGATGAATTTCATCAAATTAACCTACTTATAGTTTTGATTAGAGCTGGGAACAAAATAAAAACTCAAGATCAACGAAATATTGTATTGGTATTGGATGGAAAAAAATTACAATTTTTGATTTTTTAAATGATAATTAAAATTTATATATAAATTTTATTTTATAACCAAATATCTATCACAAAATTAATTAAATATGCTAATCAAATTTATTTAAATTTTATTCAATAAATTGGTATTAGTTTAATATTTTTGTGTAAATAAAATAACAAAAATGATTTGATGATATAATTAAATTATTGGTAATTTGATTTCATTTTAATAAATTTTATGCAGAATAAAACTTTTATATAACAGAAACAACTTTTTTAAACGGGACTGGACCTACGGTCCCACGGTCTGGCATCACTTGACTTAATGGCCCATCGGTCCAGTCTCATTTTAAAAAAAGGACCGCACCGGACCGTTGCAAACACTAGTGCTAATTAATATAATGGCCAAAATATATAATAAATTGAATATATTAGGAAATCTTTGATTTGTAAAACTGTGTGATGAATCAAAACTTTCATTTATTAGGCTTATTATCAAAAGGCAGTTTAAAGTCTGTATTTCCCCAGATTTCAAAAAATTGATAGATTGATATAGAGACCTGCAAAGATACCATTTTCACAGCCCGGCCTGAATTTTTTTATGGCTAATAGTGACGATTTAAAATAATTGGTTTTAAAATATGCGCCTAGACCTGGGTATTTAAAAAAAATTTTAGGCCCGACCCTTTAATTAAAGTACCGCCCGTGTTTCGGGCCGGGCTTAGAGCATGACCTGCAGGGCTCCGATTTTAGCCAAAAAATATTATTTATAAACCTCGAGATTGGCTGAAGATTTAGCTCTTTTTGACTAAATCTCGAAACCAATATAATTGTGAAAAACCTTAATTTTGCCGTTTTTCTAAATAAGTTAATCCTCTTATTGAGTCTAGTAAAATTTTCTTTTGACTGATTACGTACCTGTTACATCTTATCCCATATCAGTAAGATGTATAAAACAATTTAAAAAATTGGAACATAACTCCTACTTTTCTAACGGTTTTCATGTGAATGAAAAAAACATTTTTAAGGTTCTTTTGTTTCTTATTACCATTTAAAAAAATCCTTTTCA